AGAGAATCATCGGTTGGCTGCCTCCTGCACGCCCACACTGGGGATTGAGCCTGCAAACCGGGCATGTGCCCTGACTGGGAATCGACCCGTGACCTTCTGGTTCATAGATTGATGCCCAACCACTGAGCTATGCCGGCTGGGCTAAATCTTCAATATTTTAAGTATTAACGGTGTGCGCTCCCAGGTCATACCAAAATTTTGTCGTAATTCTGCCATGCTTTATCGATGAGCTTCCAGAGACTTTCAAACACTTCTTTCTGGGGTAAGAGAGTGCAGTAACTCAATGCCAAGTCAAGATCCACCAGGCGACAATTGAATACCTATGGGAAGAAAGCATCCAGAGAAGCAAATTCTTTTTTTTTTTTTTAAATAAGGGGCTCTAAAAGCTCGTCATTAAACTTAATTATAGACCCAGTTAGAAACATCGATGGGAGAGAAACATCGATCAGCTGCCTCCTGCACATCTCCTACTGGGGATGTGCCCGCAACCCAGGTACATGCCCTTGACCGGAATCGAACCTGGGACCTTTCAGTCCGCAGGCCGACGCTCTATCCACTGAGCCAAACCGGTTTCGGCTAGAAGCAAATTCTTTACAATCAAAACAGAAAATGGGCTCTAAAAGCTCGTCATTAAACTTAATTATAGACCCTATTAAAGAACAAGCGTTTCACACAAGGTTAGTTATTGTAACACAGTTCCAACTTGTTTGTTTAGTTTTAATGTCCTTTATCAATATTATAAGTTTAAGGAAAGCAACTATAAGAACTGTGTTCTAGCACTGGCCAGTTTTAGCTCAGGGGATAGAGCATCGGCCTGCGGACTGAAGTGTCCCGGGTTTGATTCTGGTCAAGGGCATGAACCTCGGTTGCAGGCTCGATCCCTGGCCCTGGTCAGAGTGCATGCAGGAGACAACCAAATTGATGTGTCTCTCTCACATCGATGTTTCTCTGTCTCTCTCCCTCCCTTCCATTCTCTCTAAAAATCAACAGAAAAATATCCTTGGGTGAGGACTAACAAACAAAAAAAGGATTGTGTTCTTTATGGCACAGTAACCTTACCTTTTCTTTTGAATGACTATCTCATCACTTTCTTCAAATCCCCTCCCCCTCTTCACTCTTTTTAAAAAATATATACATTTTTATTGATTTCAGAGGAGGGGAATGGGAGAGAGAGAAACATCAATGATGAGAGAGAATCATTGATTGGCTGCCTGCTGCATGCCCCACACTGGCATCGAGCTTGCAACCTGGGCATGTGCCCTGACCGGGAATCAAACTGTGACCTCAACCACTGAGCCATGTGGGCTGGGCTCCCTCTTCACTCTTAACCTGAGACAGCAGAAGCAACCAGAAGAGAGAGAGAAAAAACACACCCAAAAACAAAACAGCTTACCAAGAACAAATACTCACTTTGTGCAACAGTGTTGTAGCATTTCCCCTGACAAACGTAATGGCTTTCTCTTTCAATGCCACCATAACTTTCCTTGAATTAACTAACATGGCCTCTCCAAACAGCTTTTAGAAAAGAACAAAAAACTTGTTAGGTCCACTTCTATGCATCATTGTGAAAACTTTCATCAATATATGCAAAAAAGCACAGGCAATTAATCTATAATGACAGAAAGCTGGGGCTGGGGGAGAACGGACTAGGAAAGGGCAAAAAGGAACCTTTTCAAATATCTAGATTTTCATCATTTATTTATTTATTTAAAATATATTTTTATTGATTTCAAAGAGGAAGAGAGAGAGATAGAAACATCAATGGTGAGAGAGAATCATTGATTAGTTACCTCCTGAATGCCCCACACTGGGGATTGTGCCCGAAAGCTGGGCATGTGCCCTGACTGAGAATTGAACCATGACCTCCTGGTTCTAAGGTCAACACTTCACCATTGACCCACACTGGCTGGGCTCAAATATCTAGATTCTTAAATCTGTCTATACCTTTGAGTCTATATCTTTACTTTTTAGCCTATATCTTGATTGTGTTGTTGACAAGGAGAATAAATTGGGTGATAAACTTCAAACATGTGCATTTTAATTTTGAAAGCTAGACTTCAATGAAGTTCATTTTTCAAGAATTGTTATTGTTAGGAAATGGAGAACAGAATTCAAGTTTGTGTGGCTCCAAAAACTTAACACTTTCCCAAACTATTATATAAAAACTAAAGAATAAAAGCTAGAATATAATCTATGGTATATTCCAAAGAGAAAAAAATATTACAGAAAAAGTGGATTCTAAGCTAGATATTACAAAATAGGCCAAGATTTGAATAGGGATATGACATGAAGTGACAAATACAAAGACACAGGCAACTACAGCACACTGAGAGAAGAGACAGTCTAGGGAAAAGGATAAGAAGAAATGAATGCAGTGGGTTCAAATCAGAGGTCTTTAGGTGGTGATAAAGATTACACCTGACTAGGAATGAGGGGGTCACAGAATTCATGATCAAATTATATCAGTCTAGAAGCAATATCTTAGACTGAAAAGAAAAGGGAGAAGGCAATGAGACCATTTCAGATGCTACTGCAATATTCAAACATGACATGATAAAAGACTGGGTGAGGAACAAAGAAATGTGAAAGTATTGCATTAAAAAAAAGGACAAAGATTAAAGAGATGAGGAATCCATTATTATACCAAAATTTTAAGATCAGATGAGAAAGATTAATGAGCAAGTCTCATTAACAAGAATAAAATTGATTAAAAGGAGAAAAATATGGGATAAAATTCTTTTTCTAGGTACCTCCTATTTCTGACTATTATAGTCATTGTTCCCGTACTTGTTAACCTTTTCACTACCATTTCTTTCTCATTGATGGCTTCTTCTCCTCTACCTTCTAGTGAGCTTAGATCATCCATTGCCCCTCCATCCCCTTTCTACCTTTGAATAACCTTCATTAGCTCTATCTCAGTTTTAGCAATCGTACTACTTTTCACTCTTTAATCTGCCATCCTATCCTATATAATAAAAGCCCAGTGACTACAATGGCAAAACAACCAGAACGACCGCTCAACCAGTCACTATGAGGTGCACTGACCACCTCTTGGTTTCTCCCCCCAGCCGGCAGGCTCCCACTGCCCGGTGGCGAACAGGGAACCAGAGTGGGTGGCAGCGGGGCCGGCGAGTGGGCAGAATGGCTATCCTCTTGGTCCCTCCCCCTGGCCGGCAGGCTCTGATCGTCCGATGGCAAACAGGGACCCAGGGGTGGGTGGCAGGGGATGCAGGCGGCACCAGGCCAAGGCCCCCGCCCTGCCGGTCGCCCAACACACAGAGGGCGACCTGCAGCGGAGGCAGGGCTGGTGAGCAGGCAGGAATGGCCAACCTCTTGGTCTCTCTCCCCAGCCGGCAGGCTCTGATCACCCCATGGCGAACCGGGAACCAGGGAGAGGTGGGGGCAGGGCTGGCTGCTGGCAGCCAGGGAAGATGGCCCTGATCATGGCCCTGATCGCAGGCCAGGCATAGGGACCGCACCCATGCACGCATTTCGTGCTCCGGGCTGGTGAGCAGGCAGGAATGGCCAACCTCTTGGTCTCTCTCCCCAGCCGGCAGGCTCTGATCACCCCATGGATCACCCCATGGCGAACCGGGAACCAGGGAGAGCTGGCTGCTGGCAGCCAGGGAAGATGGCCCTGATCATGGCCCTGATCGCAGGCCAGGCATAGGGACCGTACCCATGCACGTATTTCGTGCTCCGGACCTCTAGTAAATAAATAACTATATTAAGAACATGAAGTCAGAGTCATATTCAGGATTCCAAGCAATATCTACATTGGTATATTTACAAAATCATCATACAAAGGCCGTGCATTTCTGATGTCAAATACCTTCACTGATGGAGCAGTATGATAAACTCGTAGAATCCAGGGGATGTCTCTTGCTTTCTACAAGAGAATAAATTAAATAAAAATCAAGAAAATAACTCTCGTGGAGCACATACACACATCACAGAGACATTCTTTTGTGTCTGGCTTCTTTTGCTCAGCATGATGCCAGGGAGGTTCGCCTACGTTACTGTGTTGTAGTTCTAGTTCCAAACCTCGATAGTTTAAACTCCTGTGAATAAAGCAGAGATACACAGACGATAAGGCCACGAAGGAGATTTACCAGCTAGAGGGACCAGTGATGAGATCAGCTCGTAAATCACAGGGAGCACCATCTGCGACTCCAGTACGATCCCATCCTCACTGAAGAAGTCGCTGTAGGACCACTCTTCATATGGGTCTTTGTGTGTTCCAAAAGAAGTCTGAAGACCAAATCGCACAGAAAAGATACCGTAAGGAAACTCCAAAGCACACAAAACTATCCTCACCAAGCAGAATCCAGAATCAGGGATATTAGAGTCAGATGCAGTTTGATGGTCAAAAACAACTACATAGTCTGTTCCTTCTGGTCGATGGCTTATCACAATGCCATTTTATTTTAATATCTATTAAAAATATATTTTTACTGATTTCAGAGAGAAAGGGAGGAGAGAGATAGAAACATCAATGATGAGAGAGAATCATGATCAGCTGGGACCAGTGATGAGATCAGCTCGTAAATCACAGGGAGCACCATCTGCGACTCCAGTACGATCCCATCCTCACTGAAGAAGTCGCTGTAGGACCACTCTTCATACGGGTCTTTGTGTGTTCCGAAAGAAGTCTGAAGACCAAATCGCACAGAAAAGATACCGTAAGGAAACTCCAAAGCACACAAAACTATCCTCACCAAGCAGAATCCAGAATCAGGGATATTAGAGTCAAATGAAGTTTGATGGTCAAATACAACTACATAGTCTGTTCCTTCTGGTCGATGACTTATCACAATGCCATTTTATTTTAATATCTATTTAAAATATATTTTTACTGATTTCAGAGAGAAAGGGAGAAGGAGAGAGATAGAAACATCTATGATGAGAGAGAATCATTGATCAGCTGTCTCCTGCAAGCCCCCCACTGGGGATCTGACCCGCAACCTGAGTATGTGCCCTGACCTCCTGGCTCATAGGTTGATGTTCAACCACTGAGCCACACTGGCCAGGCTGACAATGCCATTTTATGTTATTTTATTTATTTATTTTATTTTTAAATTCTCACCCGAGGATATTTTTCCATTGATTTTCAGAGAGAATGGAAGAAAGAGGGAAAGACAGAGAGAAATGTCGATGTGAGAGAAACACATCGATTGGTTGCTTTCTGCACATTCCTGACCAGGGCCCCGGCCAGGGAGAAGCCTGCAACTGAGATATATGCCCTCGACCGGAATTGAACCCAGGACCTTTTGGTCTGCAGGCTGACGCTCTATCCACTGAGCCAAACCAGCTAGGGCAACAATGCCATTTTAAATTAAACTGTTAGCCTAAGATAAGGACAATGCTCAGAGGTGCCTTGTTTGAGGCCCAATATTTCCTAAGACTGTGCAAATTAGAGGCAATAAATGTGACTGGAAAAGAGAAGTGGCTTCATGCCCACTGGTCCAGAATAAGAAACTACAAAGAGACAAGTCAGTATTTGTGTAGACAATGCATGTGACTTAAAAGTGGTGCGTGTGGAGTGGCAGAGCTTTGGCTTAAGGAGAAAATTCAAAAGCATTTACTTTCATCAGGATCTCCCCGTCGTCCATCTGGCACTGTCTGGAAAGCTCGACGGCCATTAGCGTGTATTTACACAGTTCCAGAGCATCTAGGAGGAAATCTGAAAGACAATCAAGAAAAATCATTAACTAATAGTTCACTTATTTAGAACACTGACAACCTGTTCATAACCACGACTCAAAATTCTAAGGCAGGCCACAAAGCAGAGAGGTTCCCACATAACCCTAAGTAACACACGTCAAAGGTTTTCTTAAGCTTGGCTGGAAAGTAAGACCAGGTATGGGGGTGGGGCAAGGAATTTCACAGTCCTACGAAAGTGAACATCGTCACGGTCCGAAATGACATCGTTACTATTTGGTGATGTTTTAAGAATCCCCACAGAGAATGGATCATAATCATCCCTTTGTAAAATGGAGATACGACCGACCTCTTCTCTCGTGACTGCGATGTCCAATGTGAAGGGGCAGTGTCTGGGAGCTAAGTAGGACATGAACCACAGAAGATCAAACTCTGTGAAGGACAAATCTTGTCACCTGGACTGCAGATGGTGGCAGCTTGGCACGCGAGGTCATGTATTTCGGAAGGAAGGCTTAGTCCCACCGGTGCCGTCATCGGAACGTCATTAGCCAACATCTGACAAAGCTTCTGACAGGTCAGAAACAGCAGCTTCCCAGTGTCCGTGTTGCAGTGATACTTAAACAAGTCTCTTCGGAAGAGAGGAAGAGTTGGAAGTTAGAACACTTATCGAAGGTAAATGCACTTGCCTTTCTTGGATCAATATACAACCACCACCAACTTTTAAAATGACTTCATGGTCTTTAGTTCGTTTTGTTCCTCAACTTGTTTAGGATACTGTTAGCTGTCAGATGCAAGGTGAGGTTACCTAACTATGCAGTGTTAGTCAGTTGTCTTCTATGCTACCACCTCCGGACCCAGAAGCCCAAAATAGGCTCGCAGGGTGAGAAACCGAGAATCACGGCGGTGGAAAAGGAAAGTATCATTGGCCCTCCCCGACCACCGTAGAAGTAAACAAAGCAAATGCTCCCTCCGAGGAGCTGTGGGTGCGGAGCCGGAACGCACCTGCATTTTTTCAGTGCCGTTCCCACCTTCCCGTCGCTCAGGGCCCTCAAGGTCAGCTCCGCCTCCAGCTCTTGCTCGGACACCTGCAGGGCCAGGGCCTGTCGGTGCAGCTTGGACTCGGTGCTCAGGCTCTTCTTGGCCGCCGCCGGCTCTGCAGTGCCCCTGGGTTTGTGCTTCGCCTGCGCGACTTCTTGAGCTTTGATGTACTGTTCACGGAGCTCTGCTACCAGGGAGTGATTGCTATAATCTTCAAATGCAAGAAAGACCTCAAAGTTCTCCTGCCGCAAGGAAAGCAAGACAAAGCCCCAAGTCTGTTTAGTTCATCCGTTGTACAAAGCACCGGGATGTCTCCAACTTCTTTCTCCCCCTCCCTCAGAGACTACTCCTGTGTAAATTAAGGATTTACTATAAGACTGCATACGTCTAAGCACTATGCTGTACACCTGAAACGAGTACAATATTGAATGTCAACTGTAATAAAAAAAATTTTAAAGTTAAAACAAAAAACACTTCATAGTCCAAGTCATGAAAGTAACAACTGACAAGGTTAGAAAATAGGAAAATATTACTTGAACCCAGGTGTTCTCACCTTCAGCGCTATGGACATTTGGGCCAGAACTGTGGGGAGCCCTGAATAGAAGGAGGGATAGGTAATCGATTTGGGCGATTCTACTCTGGAGGTTGGAAGAACCCAGCTTTGCTCTTTTCTATCCTAACTCCTGGTTGGCTGTTAATGGATTTTTCTGACCCAGTAGGTCAATCCCACGGAAAGCCAGGAGACGACACCAAGAGGTGGTGGGAGTGAGGCGGACCTTTCACCGGATGCCTTACTTCAGGGCAGGTTTCTCAGTCTTGCCGGATGAGTCTTTGTGGTGGGGGCTGCCTTGTGAATAGCAGGACACGTAGCAGCATCCCTGGCCTCCACCCACCAGATCTGGTGTCATAAATGTTCAATAAACAGTAGCACGAAAAATACACATGCCTTTGCCTGGATCAAAACCATTGCTTTAAAAGCTCTTTCAAATTTAAGAACACGAAGAAGTTAACTTATGCTGACTCCCCAGGTGGTTTCATTGTCTAAGAAGTTAACTTATGCTGACTCCCCAGGTGGTTTCATGGAGACATCTGTTGTCTAATACAGTAGGTCTCAAACTTCCTGGTGCAGCACCCCTGGACACTCTGAGGACCCCCAAGAAGTTTGCTTATGGGATATCTATCAATACTTACCATATTAGAAATTAAACTGAGAAATTTTTAAAACAAAAGGGGCTATAAAAGTGCACATTCCATTAGCCTTCAGAGTGACGATGTTATCATTTCATAAAGCCCATGAACAAAACACCCCAAACAATTCCTTATTATTGCTGTCAATGTAGTTTTTATCTCATGGACCCCCAGAGAGGGTTCCAGGGTCCCTTAGGATTCCATGGGCTGTACTTTGAGAGTTAAATCTGCCAGCGTTAATTTAAGTTTTCACAAAGAGATCCTCTATTTTTTTCAATTTGATAAAACTTATCCCTTAACTTTGAAAGTCCTTTTATTTATACAATCTTTTACATTAGGAAGGCCCTGGAGCCAAAATAAAACTGTTTTCAAATCTCATATCTTAGGACAGTTAATCAATTCAAAGGTAACAAATATTAATTTTTAAGAAAACTGAGTTGTCTAAAATAAAACTATATAGAAAAATATTTAAGACACTATGAAAGAGTAGACAGTATATCCAGTCTCTGAGGCCCGTGCAGAAAACTTAAAGGAGGGGCTGACCATCTATGTCAAAGGCACTGATTAGTCCAGTAATAATGTTCAGTATAGCTTAACACCTTTACCTGTAAGCTAGCAACAGTTTTAAATAGATTCAACATGTCTTCACACTCATCCTTCTTCTGCAGATTGTCTGTAATTAAAATTTTTAGTTATTGCAGACATCTAAATTCCCACATTATCAGAATTTATAAAAGCCAAATTTTAATTAGCTAGGTCTATTGAGATGCTGATTTGAGACAACTTAAGTTCAAAAAGAAATCTAATTATTCTTTCAGAAGGTACAAAAGAGAAGCTTATAGGTTACAAGAGAAATGGCAATTTTTCTGAAATAAATTGTAGCTTTTTTCTCCCCAAGAGTTACTTTGTTAATCATTTTATTTAAGTTCAAGATTAAATAGGTCCCCCCCCATCATAACCAAATGATAAGAAGAAATATGAATAAAAAGTGCAAGGCACCAAAGAAATCTAGTCTAGCATGAAACAGCTTCCTGAAACATAACAAATGAAAAGTTGATTTTAGGTGCATCTATTCTTATGCTACAAATCAACAGAATAAGGCAAGGAAGACTTTTCATGAAGAAAAGTGGGTGGGGTCAGCAAAAACCATCAGAGCAGAACAACTGTGGGTCAGGATAAGATTGGCAGTGATGATTCCTTCTGAAACGGATAAACTTTAGAACAAAGCCAAGGTGAGGGGGCAGAGGTAGACATTACCTCTCTGAATGTCGCACAGTACTTTAAGAACGTCTACTGATGTCTTCACTACAGACATTCTCCAGGCCTTGTCCTAAAAAGAAAGATGCAAAATGAAATCTACGTCCTTATTTGCCACTTTGGTAGTACACACACATAACAAACACATGAAAACTATGGGATCAGAAAAAACAATAAAAAATTGCTGGAAAGTCCCTCTCAGGATATCGCTTCTCGACCTTTTGGCTAAGATCAAGTGAAGTCCCTCTCAGGAGCACTCCCAGTGCATTTCCGTATTTTAGGTCTTGCTCTGCACCGCCCCCCCGCGAGTTACCTTTGCCTTTCCCTCTCCTAGAGCTGGGGAACCAAGAAATGCCCCCCCCCCCAAAAAAAAAACCCACAAAAAACAAACACCTCATTTCCCTAAAAGTAAAAAAATTATGTGAACTGCTGAGACAGGTTAGGAGGTATCTATCTCTAAAGGTTTAAAAAACTCAGCTACCCTGGATAAATTAGGTATTTGGTTCCTTATCTCTATAAAGAAGTGAACTGGCTCTCTTGAAGTGGTTTCTAAGTTTCAACCTTCTAAGATAATTTACATTTATGCTGTTTCTGTGGCTGACATTTGATAGTAATGACTATGTCCCATACAATGAGGAAAATTGCTTATACTGCAAGGCATGATGGGAAACTCCTAAGTAAACAAAGACTTCAATTAATCCTAATTCATTTAGTGTGGGCTCAAGCCAAAGCTCCAGAGCAGCCCTATGTGGCTTTTTTCTTTATTTTTTTAAATTTAAAATTTTTTTGAATTTATACCAACTTAACTTTTTATTATTGAAATGGTTTTTCTTTTTAAAAAAATGTTTTTTATTGATTTTTAGAGAGAGAGAGAGGGAAACATCAATCGGCTGTCTCCTGCCCACCCTCTACTGGGGATTGAGCCCACAACCCAGGCATGTGCCCTGATCTGGAATCCAACTGGTGACCTCTTAGTTCATGGGTTGATGCTCAACCACTGAGCCACACTGGCCAGCTGGCTTTTTTTCTACGTAGTGCATTAACACAGGAATTTTTATATGAGGCCATTCTAGCAGTGAGAAAAGCAGATATTCACATTTGTACTTTTACCCTATTGCTTCCTCTCCATAAAAATTAGATTTATCTACACTTTATTCAGTGATAATCTCACCTCTTTAGAATCATCTGGTTTTTCTTGCATTGCCAGTCGTGCCCATATAATGACCCTTTCTGCAGTCTTCTTAGCTTCCTCTGGGGGCAGAGACCGCAGCAAAAGGACACAGTCCTCACCCTATAAACAGTGTTTGCAGGAAGAAAAAACAGCTGACACCTTTGTGCAAAAAAACAGTTGGGACTTACTTCTCATTTTCTATTTAAAGAAAAAAAAGATATTTTGAAAACTAGATTATGGTAAGATAAAAACATGAACATTCTGTTGATGATAGCAAACAAAGAAATTAAATTAAAATGCCACTCTTTGTACTTTGTAATTCTATGCTTATTGAATTATAGAAAAATAACAACACTTCTGAATAAAAATAAAAACCCCATATCCTATTCTGGAATCAAAGGGTACCACAGAAAATGTAAGACGTGAATCTGAGTTTTGTTAAGTAGTAAAGAGTATGAAAACCCATTAGCTATTCACAAAACACTTTTACAGAACCTACAGATATGAAAAACAGGGTCAACCTAACATTCAGTGTTTTTATCTTGGTATAACTTTATCTTGTGTTAATCTATGTAGATAATTTGGTTGTTTTGAGTTTTTAAGGGTTTCGCCAACAAAGAAACCACACGGAAGAAAGGACACTATAACACGTCCACACCTGGTCTCTATCTATCAGGTCTATAACCCTCAGACTGTAGATTTCATCAGGAGGCAACATGTAGGCTTGGGCCACCTTCAAAGCATCTTCTAAGGAGGTTGGGACATCTTGTTTGAGAATGTATCTGACCACCCTCTGAAACAGACAATAGACACATTAATTTCTTTGTTACAGAATCTCAGAGAACCCAAAAACCATCCCTTCGAAAGGTAAAGTATTCATTAAAATAAGGCAGTGCCCTGTTTGACTTAGTGTATAGAACATCGGCCCTCGGACTGAAGGGTCCCGGGTTTGATTCTGGTCGAGGGCATGGTTGCCCAGTGGGGGCCGTGTGGGAGGCAGCTGATAGGTTTCTCTCTCATTGATGTTTCTAACTCTCTATCACTCTCCTTTCCTCTCTGTAAAATCAATATATTTAAAAAATAAAATTCAAAAAAATAAATTAAGATAAGGCAGCAAAAAACTAAGCTGTATGAAAAACATTAAAAAATAATTTACATTCTGACTTTTTAAAAAAAAATATATGTTATTGATTTTTCCACAGAGAGGAAGGGAGAGGGATAGAGAGTTAGAAACATGGATAAGCTGTCTCCTGCACGCCCTCTACTGGGGATGTGCCCGCCACCAAGGTACATGCCCTTGACTGGAATCGAACCTGGGACCCTTTAGTCTGCAGGCTGATGCTCTATCCACTGAGCCAAACCGGTTAGGGCTACATTCTGACTTTTATGACAGTCGTGCCCAACTCCCCCTCCCCCAGCTTTATTGGGGTATAAATGAAAAATCATAGTATATATCTAAGGTGTACAATGTGATGATTTGATATACTCATTTAGTTTCTTAATTTACCATCTGTTGTCCTCTCTACTCTAATAAACAATTAAGTGCCCTGTTAACATTCTGTTTGACACATGCATCTATCAACAAGTGAATCTAAGAATCAAGTGAATAAATAATCTGATGTACAGAATGAACTGGTGATTATAATGAATCAGGGACATAGAAAGGGAATGGACTGACTATTCTTGGGGGGGAAAGGGGAATGGGAGATGCGGGAAGAAACTGGACAAAAATCGTGCACCTATGGATGAGGACAGTGGGTGGGGAGTGAGGGCGGAGGGTGGGGCGGGAACTGGGAGGAGGGGAGTTATGGGGGTAAAAAAAAAAGAGGAACAAATGTAATCTGAACAATAAAGATTTAATAATTAAAAAAAAACATTCTGTTTGACAAAAGCAAGTTAGTGGAGAACCTAACTCTATTACCTTGAAGAACGTGAAATTCTCATTAAATTTCCCAGATTGCCCTAGAAATGGGGTCCAAAGACTCCTCATTGTACTTACCATTATTTCCTTGTTTAAGAGGTTCACCTCCCTTATTCCGTAGCCTCGTAAAAGTTTTTTCATTTCCATTAGTTTGTAACTCTCCTGTAATAACTTGACCCTAAATGTAAATTTATTGGTATTAACATGGATTATCTTCTTTTATGAAATACCAGGGGACACGGTAAAGGGCAGAACACCAGAAATGACTGTCAACTCAACACACGAGGTTTATCCAACACCAACGAAGTTGCTTGATGGGCTGCAATCTTACTTGGGGTGGTCCATTTCCAAGTGCTGTTTCACCAGCTGCTCCACCGCCGCACTCCAGGGAACCACGGCTGCGTACATTATCTTAAGCACAGCATCGAATATGAGCTACAAAGACACACACAGGGCAGTGAGTAGCCTGGGAGGTCGTACAAATTAATGGCATTGCCTACTCTGTAGCAGAGGTCCTACATCTACTGTATGACTGCAAAAGTATACCTTTCTTCCGATTTTCACACATAAAGGGCAATGTTAATATTTAAAAAAATGTTCTCTCTGCTGGAAATTAAGTCATATGACTCTATTACTTTCTACAGACTGTGTTTAAAAATATTTTTTCATGAGTTTTTTTTATTCATATTTTAGAATGGTGCTTAATAACAGTGAAGTAGAAATAAAGGCATATTGTAATGTATTTTTCAAATTTCTCTATGTTTGAGAAACCATATGCATCCAATTGTCTATGGTGGTTCTTCTTGGGTGGGAATAAGAAAATGTTCCCTTTTAATTTTCATAATTAAAAAAATAGAATTATGGGTGGGTTTTTAATTATTCCTATTCCTTTTCCATTCTACACTAATTCTCTTGTGACGAGAAAGTAAGTGTTAAGAAAAGCTGCAGTGCCGAAAAGGAAACTGCATGGTCACCATGTACTCACGTCTGTGTCAGATAAACATCCTATGACCGCCATGGCTTTTGCTTCCCATGCCGTCTCAAAGAGTGACGTGGACTTGGAGCTACATCTCTTCAATAAATCCTAACGAGGGATAAGCACAGATATTTTTAAATTTAAAACTCTGACTAAAACAACAACAAAAAAGTAAAACACACAGATATAAATAACTTTTATGGATGTGTGAAAAAACAAAAACTTCTACTTAGCAACGGTAAAAAAATACAAAATTGCTAAAACCTTGGCCTTCAGTTTTACATGGTACAGAAAACTTAGGAAGGAAACATTCTTGAAGAATCTATAAATAAGATTACTGCACCTTATTAATGTCTACAAAAAAATAACTGCTAATATTTATAGAGCTCATGTTCCTATTATCTCACAATAACCATTTGTAGAAAGCCCTAATATTATCCTGTTTTGTTCAAGATTACCAGTCAATCAATAAGAGTTAACCCACATTCTTAATCAATAATCTGCACAAATCCTAACGGTAAAGCATTAAATGTTTAACTCAAAGGACTTAATAATACATCGTATTAACATTTAATGCAATCATACACCGCATAGATGCAAGAAATCAGACTAGACGTAAGAAAAAGTTACCTCTATGTACAGGAGAAGGAGTTCCTCCTCTTGCAAGTCATGTTCCCTCATGTAAACTCTGATAAACTTCTCTAAGATGGAAGGAATAAGCTCTGGCGCCAACACTTTATCGAACATTCGGAACACAATGGTGGTAGTGTTCTCCTGGATGCCAAAAAAGACGGTATAAATGCAAACTTTACTCATCCTGGCTACGGTACAAAGTAACGTTGATAAACCTAGACCTTTACCTTCTCAAAATCAGAGAGGGCCAAGTTGCAGTTGTATTTCCTGTGCAATGTGATCAACTCTCGCAAGTTATTTACCAGGGTCCTTAACTGACACACTTCCTCCGTGTTTTCATAATCCTTCTGAAATAGAGGTGTTAAGGATACGAAATAAAAGTGTAAGGGAAATATGCAAAAAGGTCAGAATTATTTTATACAAAATGTGAAATTGCCATGATTATGTACATAAGAGGAAACCTGCAAATTATGCCTTTAAATATTGTAGGATTTTAACTAATTGACTAGTACAAATTAACAGATCAGAATCTGACAGAAATCTGAAATTTTCTTTCTTAAAAATATAGAAAATTATTATTAGTGTAATATACTTAGGTACATAAACATTATATAGATAGCCCTCAATGTCCTATCTGTATTGATCATTACCAAACTTTTCTTTTTTATTAACTATACATTTTTTATTGCTTTCAGAGAAAGAAGGGAGAGGGAGAGAAAGATAGAAACATCAATGATGAGAGAAAATCATTGATCGGCTGCCTCCTGCACTCCCCCTACTGGGGATTGAGCCCACAACCTGGGCATGTGTCCTTGACCGGAATCAAACCCAGGACCCTTCAGTCCGCAGGCTGATGCACTATCCACTGAGCCAAACCAGCTAGAGTGTGACCAGACATTTTTTAAAGTTATATATAAGGACCAGACTTTTCAATATTGGTAAAAGGCAATTAACAGGGAAAAGACAAAGTAGTGTTTTATAGCAAAAAGAAAATGCTCTTCTGCAGAAAAATATATTATAATGACCACTATATATGTTGATTTATACATCAATACACTGCTTGAAACATATAAAAAATTCCCATTTTATTTTTAACAGTATATAATCAATAAGTATAATTAACAAGAACCTGCTATATCAGAAAGTAGGAAGACATTTATTATTTTGGGGCTCCAGAAATTTAAAGAATTCAATTTCATAACATACATTTTAACCTCAAGTAAGGTCATACCTCTGATACTTAAGTACTTAATACTTCAGAGTTGAGATTAAGCTGAGATGTCGCATATGTTTATAAACGAAATTATGGCATACCAACAAATTTTTAAAAGACAAGAAGGTACTCCCCCCTCCCCGCAATATAATGTATGCTTTCTAGTTTTTAGACCTGAAGGGGAAAAGAAATGAACTTAAGAAATTTAGAAGCCAAACAATAAATTCAGTTAATTAAATTCAAATTAACATCAGTATTCCTGATCTTAGTTCCCTTTCAGCATTGCTTTATTTTTCAGACAGCCAGAAAGTCCCAGATTTTTTTCAATTTTCATTTAAAAAATTCATTGGTACTTAAGCCATACCGGCTGCTGAAATGTCTAAGATAATAAGCATTCAGAACTGGGAGTAGCTCACTAGTTAAGAAGTAAATCTGATTGATATAGCCTTTGAAAACAAATCCTAATGCATTAGTGAGGTTTGTTTTGTAAAGCAATGTGAAATGCTTCTAGTGTAGAAAATCCCCAGTATACTACTTAGGAGTATGTTTATATATTGTTTCTGGCCCTGGCCGGGTAGCTCAATTGGTCCTGCTACACTAAGGTTGTGGGTTCGATTCCCCTAAAAGGGTACATACAGGAATCAACCAATGAATGCATTAATAAGTGAACAACAAATCAATGTTTTTTTCCTCTCTCTCTCCCTTCCTCTCTTCTCTCTAAAATAAATAAGAAGTAAAATATATATTGTTTCCCTTTTGGTTAGTTCAATAGAGAAAAAGAGTGCATTAATATAGGTTGAAGTTATAACACAAAAAGCAGGAAGAAAAAAAAAGGGAAATTTTCCTTTTTGTGGATTTTAAAAGTACCCATCCAAAGAAAAGAAAACAGAAAACTGCAGAAATGGGTATATTTCTAGTACATAGAGACAAACCCTTTAACATGAATGAATGTTTTATCACTAAGTCTGTTTTCCATGTCATACCAAGGAAATCCAATGCCAGGAGGACACCAATCCCATCTCATCCGGTTTTTCTGCTGTAAAAAACACCTCTGCCAATTGAAGTCCATTTTCTGGCCAGTTTGCCTTTAAAAAATTTTACAAACCATTAAAAATAATGATTTATGCCATTGGGAGAGTCTTAAATGCATTTTCAATGCTAATTATACAAATTACCTTATCAGTTAATTCAAGGTTCCTGGCTGCTTGCTCCAACCATTTTGCAAGAATTTTCTGGAATAGATATATTATTTAAAAATATAATGCTCAATTACTTAATCACCAAAATAACTTAAAACATCCATGATAATCTTTCAAAAGAGACTGTAAAATGAACTAACTGGTGTTATGTGACTTCATGTTCAATGATTTGATGTAAAAAATAAAACTGAGTCACCAAAAGTGGAAATACTAAAGAAGACTCACCTGTCCATCCGGTACAATCCTTCTTACAAACGGGATCACATCATTTTTAAGCCAGGGACAGAGCTTTTGCAAGGAGACTGGTGTAGAAATCGAGTTGAGCAAGTTCTCAAGCATTTTCACGTCAAATCTGCTTTCAAAGTTTGCCTAAACCATACAGAGTGAGAAATTAAGGTTTATCTACCAAATTGAAACTGCCAGCCTCCCAAAAAGGAAAGGCCTCTTAGGAAGTCATTTCAAGAATTATTTTACTATTTTGACGAGCATCAAAGGTGGTTTACTCTAGACAAATGATTTGAGCCGGGAGCCACAAATTTCATGAATCTTATGACAGAAAATTCCAAATAACAAATTAAGTGGCAGAAGAACTGGTATGGGTGGCCTTCCAAGGAAAATGTAATTGGAGGTGACAATACAGATCCTAGCCATGTGTCCACTGATGACATCACACCCAGACAACTCCTTTTTGGACCGAACTTTATACGCCAACGATTTTCCCTTTACCACAATCTGGTCTGCAATAGGAATACCTTCTCTACCAGTGCTACAGAAGAAAGCCCATGGTCGGGGGGTAGTGGAGGAAAAAGGGGAAATCTGTAATACCTTCAACAATAAAGATAAATGTTTTTAAAAAGCCCATCAATAAATCACTTAATCAAATGTTGCTTTTGAGCTAAGTTTAGGAGTTAATTAGACTCTGATTGATGAGATAAAGTAAGCTCCTATTATCTATATATATAAAAGCCTAAGTGACCATTATGACTGGTTGACTGGTCACTATGATGTGCACTGACCACCAGGGGGCAGATGCTCAATGCAGGAGCTGCCCCCTCGTGGTCATTGCACTCCCACAGCTAACCACCTGTGGCCAGCCAACCTCCCGCAGTCCCTCCCCACAGCCAGCCGGCCCTGATGGGCCCCGATTGCCAGCCAGGCCGAGGGACCCCACCTGTGCATGAATTCGTGTACCGGGCCTCTAGTATCTTTATAATATTTCCTCTGAGTTAATATCATCACAGAATAGTTTACTCTGGGAAAGGTCATATTTTATCAATGTGAAAACATCCAAGTTGCATTTGCCACCCTGTTCGTTCCCAGCACTGATTCAATCACCTATCTTAGGGGTTATAAAGCCATTAAGAAAGAAAAAAAAAGCAAAACTTATTACCCGATGTCTAAGCCAAAGGTACTGTGCACAAACAAGATTTCCTTCTCGTAGCTGCAAAAAAATATCCTTAAGGTCATCTTCATTATTCAGAAATTCAATCCAAGAACTACCACTGCAAAATCAAAGAGAGGAAAAAAGTTACTAGTTTAAAAATAAATTAAGAAAAAATA